GCAAAGTATTCACAAGCATAAAAAATAATAGTATTAAACAATAAAACCTCTTGCTGTTCTGAAAAGATGGCAAATTCAGAAAGTCCTTGTTGTGGGGTGTAGCTCAGCTCACTCAGTCTCTTACCAGTCCCTCCTGTGCTGGAAAATGCCACATCCCAGGCACCAGTGGGCCACAGGTGTAAGCTCCCAGTGTTTTCTGGGTTTTCAGTCCAGAGCAGGTTTGATCAGTTCCAAGGGAAAAAAAAAAAAACAAACATCACAGTCCAGGGAACTTCACTGCCTCAGCTAGCTGAAAAAAAATTAACTAAAAAGCAAAGGAGAGCTCTCTCCCATCTGTGCTGCAGACAACACAGTTCAGGAGAGGAAAATGCTGAAGGTCTATGTTTTGAAAATAACTGCCTCCATTTCGCTCCTTCTTCTCCCCTGCTTTACTCTCAGATCTAGTTTTAAAGGTGCACAACTTATTTCTGGGCTGAATAGACAAATGGGGATACAATTCAGCATCTCGTAAAGTAACCCTAGGACAGGCACAGTGCTGTGTGAGCACACATGCAATCACCCAGCAACTGCCCTACTGGCACCTAATAATTGCTTTCCTTTTTCATGTTCCCTTCTTGCATTCTTGAGAACTTTAGCAATGCAAATCCAGATTTGTTTTTTTAAACATCTTTTTCAATAAATAGGTCTAATTCATCTCTCTTCAGCATCACATTGATTTCACTGCTTGCAAATGGCATATTTGCTGTTTTGGCTTTTAGTTGAACAAGAGGAGGTTGCTACCAGTGTGTAAATTTGCATATCTGAATTCTCTGAATATTTTAAAATAATTTGTCTAGCAAATCAGTATGTTTTTGCCTGGGTAATGTGCTTGTTTGGGCTGGTATAATTTTCTTCCTAGTAGAAAGTATGGGCTATGTTTTGGATTTGTGCTGGAGATTGTTGATAACACAGGGTTGTTCTAGTTGTGGCTAAGCAGTTCTGACAAGGCCTTTTCTGCCCTCATCAGACCCTGCCAGTGAGGGGCCTTTGGGGAGCACAAGGAGTTGGAGGGGACACAGCCAGGACAGCTGACCCTGACTGGCCCAAGGGATGTCCCAGGCCAGGTGGTGCCATGCTCAGCTGGGGGGACACTGGGGGTGATGCTGTTTGTCTTCCCAAGTAACTCCTGCATGTGTTGGAGCCCTGCTGCACACCTGCCTGCCCATGGGAAGTGGTGAATGGATTCCTTGTTTTGATTTGCTTATTGCCTATTAAACTGTCCTTATTTCAGCACATGGGTTTTCTCACTTTTACCCCTCAGTCTCTGCCCCATCTGTCTCAGGGGGACAGTAAGTGGGCAGCCCTGTGGTGTTTGTTTGCAGGCTGGGGTTAGACCATGACAGCTGTTTGAGTAGGCTGGTCCTCAGTCCTGTTATATACAACATTCTGCATTAATCCTAAGTTAATACTATAGGGCTTGAGAGAGGAAAATAATTGAAAAGGTGGTCTCTCCAGAAAGCAGCATTTAGTGTTGTTCTCACCCCTCTTTATCAAATGGGACATTGATTCAATTGCCATGGGCTGGTGCTCAGTCATAGGCTTGAGGCATCTTTCCTTTTCCTGCTTTGTTTTAGCTTCAGCAGTTTTTTCTGTTGGCAGACACAGCTTGGGAGGAAAAAAAGATGGTGTCAAGAAGGCTGGTGGTAATGATTTGTTAGTTTTAGAGGCTATGCCAAATCTAAATGTGCTAGAATAAAACCACTTGCCTATGGAAACAGGCTTTTAGCTAGGGTTCATTTCAATGCAAACAACAAAGCAGCAATCTGTTAGCCTCAAGGAAGATTAGTTTTATTCTAGTAAAGGCTTTGTCACTGGTGTCTCACAGCTCTAGATCATGACAAAGGTAAGTCACCTGTCCAGCAGATGCTGTAAGAAATCAGTTGCTTTGAAAGGAGTTCAATCCTGCTGTGTATCTGATTGGCAGTGACATAATTTGTCCACTTTGATTACATGCACTGTGCCTTTTTCAGATAAGGGCAGTCACTTGGCAAATCCATTAGAGTGATTCATTCTAAATATTAGTAAGATGTTTTACAGATGCTGGATCAGTCAGAAGAAAACAGCCCACTGTTTGATTTTCATCCTCTGCAGCTGCAGGCTCTGATTGCATGGGTAGCCTGACAGCCACTGACTTATTTTGCTTACCATCAGTTTAAGCGAATTTTCACAGAAACAGATCTCTGTTAAAAATCAATAATTCAGCATGCTGCTTCAGCATGAATAGTTTTTGCTTTCTGTAACAATCTACCTTCTCCAAGCCAGAGAAAGAAACATAGAAGTTTCTTTAAAAGCCACAACAAAAGAAGAATGTCTGTGTTCTGAGGCAAGATGGAAATCTTGGAGCACTTCTTCATTGTCATGTTGTGTCTATTATCCTGTAAAAATTCTATGGCAGCACAATTTTTATGTGTCACTTCTGAACTCTGAGACATATTCATGATTTTCCAGAAGGAATTCAGGAATGGAGTAGCAATTTATCTGGCCCACAAACTGATGCAGAAACAATAAGAACTTCAACACAGCAGAGCTCACCCTCACAAAGTTTCTCCAAACCTGTTTTTAGCCTTAGCTATAGGATAGATTTGCTAGTTAAGAAGAAGTTACAGGTTTTGTGGAGGAACAAATAAACCATTTGGTCTTTACTTGGGGAGGATTTTGTTCCCACCACCCTTTGTGGTGGGTGATGAGGTAGGAGAGAACTGTGTTGGCAGGAGAAGAGGTGTGTTAGCATGAATGGCCTAATGCAGCAGTTTTCAACCAGTCACCTAAAACATCACCAAGGAAAGCAAAGCATCCTTTCATATATTGACCATTACTCTTCACTGTGTTTAAGTAATTCAGTGGCAAGCATCAGCAGAATTGATTATTGAATTAACTACAGCAATGGTCTAAACCAGTTGGGAATACTGCTAAGCCATGTCCCACCCATAGGGGACTTCAGAACTTCCAGCATTGGTCTGAAATGCTCCTAAAGTAGTAATCTTGAGGACATGCCTTTTTTTATTCCCTCCTAACCTACTTGAGGTTGGAAAATAAGGCACTATAAGGGCACAGCACTGTGTCTCAGAAGACCAAAAACATGCAGATTCCAGCTAATATGTCAGCTCTGCTGTTCAGTATTTCCACTGCATTATTGCACAATTCTATATGCAAAGTACATTTGTGGTAAGGCAAGATTTAGGATGTAGGACTTGTCCAAATTTAATTTGGATGTCATGTAGGCAAACACAAGTACAGATTCATAGGGGACTTGACAAAACAAGGCCAGAGTGACTGTACAGCAGAGAGGCAAACATCACACTTTTACTGAAGCTGATTGAAATCCAAGAGCTCATTTATCTTCTCCCCTGGTTTTTATCCTCCAGTTTCAAAACCAACATTTATAGGTAGATACTGTTCTGCATAGGGCTGTATCAGTTTTTAAATGCTGTGAATCCTCTAAGAAACAGCTGGAATAATTCCATCTGCAAGCTGTAGTGCCTAGACTTGACAATGCCTACCACAGTCATTTTTGAAGGCAGCTATAAAGTCTGCTAGAACCAGCCTGGTTAAGCTGCTTTTCTATTGCTTCTCTGGTCCTGAATGTCCTTTTTAGGACTATTTCTCTACAAGCTGGTTGCAGTGTGCCTTTGAACCAGACTCTGCTCACCAGCACTAGCCCCACTTGGCCCATAGATGGTCACAGCAATAATGATGCTGCACCTACATTCTCCTGTATAAATACTTTTGTTCTGTCCTTTATATCCCATTATCAGCCAGCTTGGACTCATCTCCCTCAATCTGTTTGGAGACAGATTGAGGCAACAAGTGACGACTGACATTAGCATCAGTATGGTATACCATGTTCTAATTTTGTTAATTCTCTCCCATTTCTCCTTGCTGAACACAGCAATATCTGGGAATTAAATTCATATAGTCAGCTCTACTAAAAGCAGATGGAACATATTTATTCAGATGTTATGTAGTCCATCTTGGATAGGATAAAATATCTTGGATAGGATAAAATAAACAAAATCATAGAAACTTCAATTGAAACAGTAAAAGATTACTTTCAACAGTTTATATGGTTGTATTATGGGTGAGTTAGGCTAAAAAATACACTGGCTGGTGCATCCTCAGTCTGTTATAGTTGCTAGATTATTTTCTATATGATTCATTTATTTTTTAACAAATTGAGAGAAGAAAAGGAGATTAAAAAATGTCTTCAGGGATCTGGGGCTTAGGTCTATGAATATGATTTCCTTGTTAGAGCCAGAGAGGAATGCCTGTGTGTCACTTGACAGCCCTATTTGGGGTAGAAGTTGAAAACAGTTTGCTGCTACTACACTGGGTCTGCTTTTCACAGAGTTGTCCTGGAGCTTTGAACATTTTATTGCTGTCAAGAGGTCGCCAGATGCAATTGTATGTTATAATCTCAGGGAAATGTAAGCCTGCCCAATTACTTGGAGCTGGTCAGAGGAAAGTGGACATGTGCTCTCCTTTCCCTGAGGCAGCAGGGAGGTTTCTGGAATGTAGCAAGAAGAAAGCCTTGCCCCAGGGCATCTGGAGGACTGTGGGATGTGGAAGAGGGAGAAATTTGTCCATTCACCTTGGCTTTACGTGTTATTCTTCTTGGCAGCCTCGGCAGGGGATGCCTTGCGCTGGTGACAGACGTGCAGAGGAGTGACCGACCACTCGGTGGAGTAAGGAGACCTCGGAATGCCAGGGGAACGCTGGCCCTGGCATCTGCAACCCTGGGGCTGTCTCTGAAAACACCAGGGAATATTCCTTTGATCCTATGAATTCCCAGNGTGCTGTACTGGTATCCAGTACAGGGGGCATCCAGCTGAACTGGACTCCCAAGCTGCTGTGGAACCAAATATCAGTAATTTCCAAATAATGGTAATCAGTGCTTGGAAATCAATTACCAATACTTTCCAAGTATTGGTAATCAATGCTGTCTCTTATTTCTAACAGGTCAGGAGGCATGGATCAGGAAACTGAAGTGGCCTGATTTGGAACAGTTCAGCAAGAAAAGGTGGAAAGCACTGTATGTATCTCCAGAATCTACTGAGACAGCTGCTTTCCACAAGGCCTATGAGAACTTTGCTTTCTTCTGGATTCTCAAGGCTGGGCACATGGTAAATAATAAAGTCCTTGGGGTGGAATCAGCAAGAATGTGTGTGTAGCTGCTGTCTGCTTCCTTATAGCAGCTGCTTATCCTTTGCTTTTCTCTGTGCTAGGTACCAGCTGACCAAGGAGAGATGGCACTCAAAATGCTCAGGATGGTGACTCAGCAGCAGCACTAGGGGAGGGGAAATCACCTGGTCTGGTCTGAAGTGTGATTCTGGATCCTAAGCCAAAGGAGGCACAGTGGCCATTTTGACACACAGCCTCCCTCATCTTGCTGACACTGTGCACAAGTGCTTGTGGAAAGGCATTTTTTTCCTTGAATGAGTTATTGCTTTTGAATTTTTAAGCTGCGATTTGCTGCCTTAACATTGTTCATAAATGACTCTTCCAGAGGGAAGTCCCCTGTCATAAAGAACAAGCCCTGAACCTTTGCCTTGGAAGGATTTTGTGCTCTTTCCCTTCCCTGAATGCTCCCTTGTCTGTCTGCACACCAAGAGTAAAACTGATTTGACATGATTTGCTTTGTGTTCCTGTGGGACAGCAGACCTGCTTCATGGAGGCTGTGGAATGTTCCTTCCTGTGTCCTCAGGCTTGAGTCACCTGGCTGGATTACAAACTGAAGACATGGAAATGCCAGGACAGAGGACCTGCCCTAGAGGAAGCACAGTTCATTTCATCTTGCTGAGGTGCCTGCATTAGGATCCAGGATTCTTCAGACTTCCTCTGCTGTGGAAGAGAGAAAAACATCCCACAGAGGAGGATTTGTCCCTTTTCATCTGACCATTTGTTTCCATTTTTCTTAATGCCCATTACTCAAACTTTGCCTTTATCCTCAACACCTAAAGCACATCCAGCAGGAATTCCTGCTTTTCTGTATCCTGAAGCAGAAGGCCTGTTAATACCCTCTTGTACCAAAGAGTCCCAACAGACAGAAGCCTCTTAAAACCTTCTGGGTTTAGCCAGAAGGAAAGGAGCATTATTTGAGCAATAACAGCATAATTCTGAAAGACAATAGGAGTGTTTAAAAGAAGGATATACAAAATCTTGATCCATGTCTTTTAGAGATTTTTTTTAAGTCTTGCGGAGACCTATTATTTTGAAACATTTTTTTTTATAATACATAATCAAGAAGAGACTTGGTCAGACATCATTTGACTTTTGCTATGGAGCATGAACTAGTTGTTTCTTATTGGTGTCTGATGGGAGGCACAACAGCTGCTTCCAGCTGTCAGAATCCTAAATAAATAGCAACCTCTCACTTACTCCAGCCACTGGAACTGTCATGAAATACCTGATAGCACTGTCTTAGCAAGAGCTAAGGCACTGTCCTGGCTGAGGGCAAATTTGGGAGGAAACTCCAAAAGGGTCCGTCTAGAAAGCAGAATCAAGTCCTACCCTCTACTGGTTCAGGAAAATATTTCCTTGAAGAAAAGCAGAAAAAAACTTTGTTTAACAAGCAAAGTATTCACAAGCATAAAAAATTAATAGTATTAAACAATAAAACCTCTTGCTGTTCTGAAAAGATGGCAAATTCAGAAAGTCCTTGTTGTGGGGTGTAGCTCAGCTCACTCAGTCTCTTACCAGTCCCTCCTGTGCTGGAAAATGCCACATCCCAGGCACCAGTGGGCCACAGGTGTAAGCTCCCAGTGTTTTCTGGGTTTTCAGTCCAGAGCAGGTTTGATCAGTTCCAAGGGAAAAAAAAAAAAACAAACATCACAGTCCAGGGAACTTCACTGCCTCAGCTAGCTGAAAAAAAATTAACTAAAAAGCAAAGGAGAGCTCTCTCCCATCTGTGCTGCAGACAACACAGTTCAGGAGAGGAAAATGCTGAAGGTCTATGTTTTGAAAATAACTGCCTCCATTTCGCTCCTTCTTCTCCCCTGCTTTACTCTCAGATCTAGTTTTAAAGGTGCACAACTTATTTCTGGGCTGAATAGACAAATGGGGATACAATTCAGCATCTCGTAAAGTAACCCTAGGACAGGCACAGTGCTGTGTGAGCACACATGCAATCACCCAGCAACTGCCCTACTGGCACCTAATAATTGCTTTCCTTTTTCATGTTCCCTTCTTGCATTCTTGAGAACTTTAGCAATGCAAATCCAGATTTGTTTTTTTAAACATCTTTTTCAATAAATAGGTCTAATTCATCTCTCTTCAGCATCACATTGATTTCACTGCTTGCAAATGGCATATTTGCTGTTTTGGCTTTTAGTTGAACAAGAGGAGGTTGCTACCAGTGTGTAAATTTGCATATCTGAATTCTCTGAATATTTTAAAATAATTTGTCTAGCAAATCAGTATGTTTTTGCCTGGGTAATGTGCTTGTTTGGGCTGGTATAATTTTCTTCCTAGTAGAAAGTATGGGCTATGTTTTGGATTTGTGCTGGAGATTGTTGATAACACAGGGTTGTTCTAGTTGTGGCTAAGCAGTTCTGACAAGGCCTTTTCTGCCCTCATCAGACCCTGCCAGTGAGGGGCCTTTGGGGAGCACAAGGAGTTGGAGGGGACACAGCCAGGACAGCTGACCCTGACTGGCCCAAGGGATGTCCCAGGCCAGGTGGTGCCATGCTCAGCTGGGGGGACACTGGGGGTGATGCTGTTTGTCTTCCCAAGTAACTCCTGCATGTGTTGGAGCCCTGCTGCACACCTGCCTGCCCATGGGAAGTGGTGAATGGATTCCTTGTTTTGATTTGCTTATTGCCTATTAAACTGTCCTTATTTCAGCACATGGGTTTTCTCACTTTTACCCCTCAGTCTCTGCCCCATCTGTCTCAGGGGGACAGTAAGTGGGCAGCCCTGTGGTGTTTGTTTGCAGGCTGGGGTTAGACCATGACAGCTGTTTGAGTAGGCTGGTCCTCAGTCCTGTTATATACAACATTCTGCATTAATCCTAAGTTAATACTATAGGGCTTGAGAGAGGAAAATAATTGAAAAGGTGGTCTCTCCAGAAAGCAGCATTTAGTGTTGTTCTCACCCCTCTTTATCAAATGGGACATTGATTCAATTGCCATGGGCTGGTGCTCAGTCATAGGCTTGAGGCATCTTTCCTTTTCCTGCTTTGTTTTAGCTTCAGCAGTTTTTTCTGTTGGCAGACACAGCTTGGGAGGAAAAAAAGATGGTGTCAAGAAGGCTGGTGGTAATGATTTGTTAGTTTTAGAGGCTATGCCAAATCTAAATGTGCTAGAATAAAACCACTTGCCTATGGAAACAGGCTTTTAGCTAGGGTTCATTTCAATGCAAACAACAAAGCAGCAATCTGTTAGCCTCAAGGAAGATTAGTTTTATTCTAGTAAAGGCTTTGTCACTGGTGTCTCACAGCTCTAGATCATGACAAAGGTAAGTCACCTGTCCAGCAGATGCTGTAAGAAATCAGTTGCTTTGAAAGGAGTTCAATCCTGCTGTGTATCTGATTGGCAGTGACATAATTTGTCCACTTTGATTACATGCACTGTGCCTTTTTCAGATAAGGGCAGTCACTTGGCAAATCCATTAGAGTGATTCATTCTAAATATTAGTAAGATGTTTTACAGATGCTGGATCAGTCAGAAGAAAACAGCCCACTGTTTGATTTTCATCCTCTGCAGCTGCAGGCTCTGATTGCATGGGTAGCCTGACAGCCACTGACTTATTTTGCTTACCATCAGTTTAAGCGAATTTTCACAGAAACAGATCTCTGTTAAAAATCAATAATTCAGCATGCTGCTTCAGCATGAATAGTTTTTGCTTTCTGTAACAATCTACCTTCTCCAAGCCAGAGAAAGAAACATAGAAGTTTCTTTAAAAGCCACAACAAAAGAAGAATGTCTGTGTTCTGAGGCAAGATGGAAATCTTGGAGCACTTCTTCATTGTCATGTTGTGTCTATTATCCTGTAAAAATTCTATGGCAGCACAATTTTTATGTGTCACTTCTGAACTCTGAGACATATTCATGATTTTCCAGAAGGAATTCAGGAATGGAGTAGCAATTTATCTGGCCCACAAACTGATGCAGAAACAATAAGAACTTCAACACAGCAGAGCTCACCCTCACAAAGTTTCTCCAAACCTGTTTTTAGCCTTAGCTATAGGATAGATTTGCTAGTTAAGAAGAAGTTACAGGTTTTGTGGAGGAACAAATAAACCATTTGGTCTTTACTTGGGGAGGATTTTGTTCCCACCACCCTTTGTGGTGGGTGATGAGGTAGGAGAGAACTGTGTTGGCAGGAGAAGAGGTGTGTTAGCATGAATGGCCTAATGCAGCAGTTTTCAACCAGTCACCTAAAACATCACCAAGGAAAGCAAAGCATCCTTTCATATATTGACCATTACTCTTCACTGTGTTTAAGTAATTCAGTGGCAAGCATCAGCAGAATTGATTATTGAATTAACTACAGCAATGGTCTAAACCAGTTGGGAATACTGCTAAGCCATGTCCCACCCATAGGGGACTTCAGAACTTCCAGCATTGGTCTGAAATGCTCCTAAAGTAGTAATCTTGAGGACATGCCTTTTTTTATTCCCTCCTAACCTACTTGAGGTTGGAAAATAAGGCACTATAAGGGCACAGCACTGTGTCTCAGAAGACCAAAAACATGCAGATTCCAGCTAATATGTCAGCTCTGCTGTTCAGTATTTCCACTGCATTATTGCACAATTCTATATGCAAAGTACATTTGTGGTAAGGCAAGATTTAGGATGTAGGACTTGTCCAAATTTAATTTGGATGTCATGTAGGCAAACACAAGTACAGATTCATAGGGGACTTGACAAAACAAGGCCAGAGTGACTGTACAGCAGAGAGGCAAACATCACACTTTTACTGAAGCTGATTGAAATCCAAGAGCTCATTTATCTTCTCCCCTGGTTTTTATCCTCCAGTTTCAAAACCAACATTTATAGGTAGATACTGTTCTGCATAGGGCTGTATCAGTTTTTAAATGCTGTGAATCCTCTAAGAAACAGCTGGAATAATTCCATCTGCAAGCTGTAGTGCCTAGACTTGACAATGCCTACCACAGTCATTTTTGAAGGCAGCTATAAAGTCTGCTAGAACCAGCCTGGTTAAGCTGCTTTTCTATTGCTTCTCTGGTCCTGAATGTCCTTTTTAGGACTATTTCTCTACAAGCTGGTTGCAGTGTGCCTTTGAACCAGACTCTGCTCACCAGCACTAGCCCCACTTGGCCCATAGATGGTCACAGCAATAATGATGCTGCACCTACATTCTCCTGTATAAATACTTTTGTTCTGTCCTTTATATCCCATTATCAGCCAGCTTGGACTCATCTCCCTCAATCTGTTTGGAGACAGATTGAGGCAACAAGTGACGACTGACATTAGCATCAGTATGGTATACCATGTTCTAATTTTGTTAATTCTCTCCCATTTCTCCTTGCTGAACACAGCAATATCTGGGAATTAAATTCATATAGTCAGCTCTACTAAAAGCAGATGGAACATATTTATTCAGATGTTATGTAGTCCATCTTGGATAGGATAAAATATCTTGGATAGGATAAAATAAACAAAATCATAGAAACTTCAATTGAAACAGTAAAAGATTACTTTCAACAGTTTATATGGTTGTATTATGGGTGAGTTAGGCTAAAAAATACACTGGCTGGTGCATCCTCAGTCTGTTATAGTTGCTAGATTATTTTCTATATGATTCATTTATTTTTTAACAAATTGAGAGAAGAAAAGGAGATTAAAAAATGTCTTCAGGGATCTGGGGCTTAGGTCTATGAATATGATTTCCTTGTTAGAGCCAGAGAGGAATGCCTGTGTGTCACTTGACAGCCCTATTTGGGGTAGAAGTTGAAAACAGTTTGCTGCTACTACACTGGGTCTGCTTTTCACAGAGTTGTCCTGGAGCTTTGAACATTTTATTGCTGTCAAGAGGTCGCCAGATGCAATTGTATGTTATAATCTCAGGGAAATGTAAGCCTGCCCAATTACTTGGAGCTGGTCAGAGGAAAGTGGACATGTGCTCTCCTTTCCCTGAGGCAGCAGGGAGGTTTCTGGAATGTAGCAAGAAGAAAGCCTTGCCCCAGGGCATCTGGAGGACTGTGGGATGTGGAAGAGGGAGAAATTTGTCCATTCACCTTGGCTTTACGTGTTATTCTTCTTGGCAGCCTCGGCAGGGGATGCCTTGCGCTGGTGACAGACGTGCAGAGGAGTGACCGACCACTCGGTGGAGTAAGGAGACCTCGGAATGCCAGGGGAACGCTGGCCCTGGCATCTGCAACCCTGGGGCTGTCTCTGAAAACACCAGGGAATATTCCTTT